TAATTCTTTTTGTTCCTCGCTTTTTTGCGCTTTTTCGTTGTTATCGCTTTATTCTAGAGTAGTACTATCTATTCCCGTCAAAAAAAGGGTACCCTTACTTTTTTGTTAACAGTGCCTTTAAGTGAAACTAATCACCCAACCTGGCATTAATGAGGAATGAGTCGAATTTCTGGAACACACATGACTTGAGCAGAAATCCGCTCATGACGGGCGAGGCGTACACGAAGTGTGTTGGAATGAGCGTATGTTTGATCGGAAAGTCATGATTCCTTTCCTTCTGTAGCATCAAATTCGAAAGGGATTGTTGGCAGCAAGCTAAGTTCAACGCAGAAGGAAGGAGAGAGCATTAGCCGATCCGACTTATAACCAGGTTTGCAGTATAAATTTCATTAATTGTGACGTCCCCTAATAGGAAATGGAATTAGCTGTGGCTCCGAGCCTTAAGCTCGGTTGCGCGGAAAGGTGAAGGAATTCGCAAGAGTAAGTGAAGGAGATCACCGCTCTGCTTGCTGCTTACATCGTCTACAAGGATGATGACGTCCTTTTGGTCTCGCCTCACTTGTAGTCCGTTCAGTCCGAAAATGTTGCTGCCTGTTCAGCTTACCAGGGTCATTCCGTGTGGCGTTGCAGTGTTATGCGTTGGGTGTCACCTGGACCATCAAAGTCGATCTTCGCGTGGTCAGGGACAGTGGCAGATGGGATTACAAACAGAATTCGGCTACAATGATAAAGCTCATCTGTGTTCTCTTTAGAATCAAAGCATACGAGTGAGTGTGTAGAAAGTGTAGACGAGTTTTGCCTCGATTTTTGCGGATTTTCGAGAGCCTCTGGTATGTATAGGGTATACGAATATAAAGGCATCTTTCATAGTCCACGGCCGGTCGCGCGACTGGTCGCGGACTCATCTCACGAGCGACCGGCGACCGGTCGCGCGACCGATCGCGCGACCGATCGCGCGACCNGTCGCCGGTCGCTCGTGAGATGGGTCCGCGACCAGTCGCGCGACCGGTCGTGGACTATGAAAGATGCCAAACGCTCACACTATCAAAGTGCTCTGAAAAGTCTCAAGACAAGCAAGGTAGTTAGACTAATGTTAGAATCAACTGCAGCCGTCGATGGAAGGAGCTGCTCTGTAGTAGTACATGGTGCAGATTGCTTGTAGAGAGCGATAATTTTGTAAGATGATCATGGAGGCCTGGACTTGTTCTTCCAAAGGAAGAGGAGGACTTTTGCTACTATGTCTTTATCTGTCCTAATAAGCAATGAGTGATCTGCAGAGTATGCTACTCTCTATACACGGATCCGTCCCGCTACCGCAGAAGTTTGGAGCACTTGCAGCGTATTATATTTCATATATACATTTCCTTAGTGGTGGTTATTCCTACAGCTTCAAGTGGTCATTAACGAGTTGAACATAGCTAATGCATAAGATCGATTTAAAATTCGAGAAATCTTACTGAGAGCCGAGTGTTCCAGTATAAGCAAGGGCGGATTGACTTGTCCTGTTCACGATAACAAACATATTGGACGCCCATTGGTACTGTAATAGTCGACTCCAACATATTTACTCAACAAATGTGATGATTTACTCAATTTATGTTTTTTGGGTGGATTTTCAAAAACAACATGCTCAAACAATTGTTGCATCTCATCAGTATTGGCGCTTGTCAAGCTAGCCAGTGAGAAGTAGTCTGTGAGCACCATCTCCAGGATTAATTCCTCGTATTTCTCTACATTGTTTTTGGCTGTTTTCGATTTCGATGATGGTGTAGTGCACTGCCAAGAGGTGCACTGCCAGAGTTTGCATTGGCCGGGGATCGAACCTTGGCTCTAAGTGCACGGCCAATTGAGCCTTCAACCCTTTGACGACAATGCGAATTTCGACGGACGCGCCCACGGGAACATACTCCCCTCTTTTCGCGCGCTACTGGCACCCACCAATGGGTGACACTGTCCTAGGAGAAAATTTTCCACAGGTTTACTGAATTTAGCAATTGGTTAGAGACAGGGAAGTATGCTGGCACCCAAAGTTGTGTGTCAATGTCCCATGCGTTAGTCATAGTGGCACCCACTGAAGGGTGCCATTGTCGTCAAAGGGTTAAGTTCTTCCATTCGATTCACTGGTATTATTTACATTGGCTGCCCACCGAAATTTTACAGAACTTCATACTTATTCAAAACGCTCTTGCCATTTTCAGCGAGAGTCGTGTCAAGGCGTGCAAGGGTCCTTTAATACACACAGCGATTGTTTTGAGCGAATCGCAAAGTATGGGCTGTTCAAACTTTATTAAGACTCTAGAGTGATTTTGGACGAAAACGCGGGTGCGCAAAGGCAAGGGGGCGTGCTGCACCATGTGCAGCACGCGGTGCGCAATGGTCAATTGAATGGGGTTCCATCAGTGCCAGAAAATTTTAATTCTCGATTACTCTGTTCGTTTCGTTGGTCAATCCGTTGCAGTGAGAATTATTGCTTTGTTTATTGCAGTAGTTGGACTGCTTTATTGGACTGTTGTCTACGCTGGCTCACATGTTCACTTCGAAAGAATAACTTAACAAAACCCGCCTTGTTTCCGACTCTACTCCACTGTTTTCCCCTTCTTTCGCGCGCTTGACTAGTGGCCCCACCACCAGAGACCTTAATCATTGCACCATAATGGAGATGTTTGAAAAAAAGGATCCTAAACATGCCTGTGTTTCTGGCGATGGCTTTAATCTTCTAAGAAACTCGTAGTAAACTGTCAAGCTGAAAAAAAAACTTATAAAGATATCTCGCATGTGACTAAGACGTAGATATGGAGGCTGCCATAGTTACTATTACAGGAGATGAAGTCAATAGCTTTGTTTCTTTTTCTTTGAAGTCCACCCTATCGTATCCTTTTGCATTTTTCTAAACCATAGCACCATAGAGCGTTCTGACTGCCCTCGCCTTAGAAGCGAATAACTTTTGCTTGTATATCTAACGTAGCGCTTTGAGGTTCTGTAGCGATAGATCTTTCCCCAAAATGCTTCAAATATGAGTATGAGAAAAAAGCAGTAAGGGCAAAAAGTGAAAAGTAAGACCAGAGTGAATATTGATGGCGAAGGTAAACCTTTTCAATGAGATTCACTCTAGTCTTACTTTTCACTTTTTACTTTTTGCATCATTTACTTCTGAAGAGGGAGGGATGGACTTTTCACTTTTTACTTTTTGCATCATTTACTTCTGAAGTGGGAGGAATGGAGGCCTTGATGGTTCGGGCGCTAATATCTCGGGCTTCTTTTCCTCTCTTCTAGATAAGGTTTACCTATTAAGATAGGGGGAAGTTATTTGTTGGCAAGTGGCACACTATCTCACACGCATGGTCATGGGTTTCCGGATCCATATCCGTCCAGGCCAACGGTGTCGGTTAAATGGTATCCTAGGATAAAAGCTCTGACTTATACACTGGCGGTCACCGCAAGTCACAGTATCGGCCACTTAGACATTCAGTACTCCACTACTACTGTGAATGGAAGTCGAATGTGAGGCGCATCTCTCAGAGGGATTGATTAACGCCAAAAGCCAAAAGACTTTATTTTATTATATAATAAAGTCAAGGTTAGTATCTGCGCAAAATCCGCTTAGACGCCATCATACTTAGTAGTCTCAGTTCAGGCAGTGCCAGGATGCCGGTCAGTTATAATCCATAATCTTTTTTTGGAGTGTCGCTTTAGAAAATGAGGATCCTAGTAAACTTAATTTGTATTATCTTGTCTAGAAACCACAATTCTCTGGCAGATATTATCTAAATAGGGAAGGAAACTTCAATGGTGATAACAGCCGATAGGATCCGATAGTGAGCATTAGAAGTCAATAAGACAAGTTTTCAAGCTATTCGTTTCAGATATAGTGTTATTTCTCTGTGATTTCTGAGTGTCATGGGATCGTAGAGACAAAAAGCACAAAATGGTGAAAAGCCTATAAGATGCGTTCAAAAGCAATAGGCGCTGCTCCTTTTCATCAGGCACGAAAGAGGTGCATTTGTACATTTTTAAAAGCACAATCTCCCTGACTACTACTCGGCCACCATACTGAAGTGTGCTTTTTAGCAGAACTCGTTCTAATTTTACAGCAGTTGTTCTAATGCTGAGCTCCATTTACAGTGGCTTACTTCTCTGTTACGATATTGTAGTAGAAGTTTTCCATATAATGCAGAATCATCAGAGTATTAGTCCAGAGACTGTCGAAATAGCTTCCATTTTGCGATATTATATTTCCTGTAAAACAGTATTCATAGTCTGACTAGACTAAATAGACTTTCGGAACGCGGACTGCGGCGAACTAACAGCAGTTAACAAACATCATGATAACAATCAAGTATTCACATACTCTATATCTGCAGTAAAGTTGTTTTCGAGATAACTCCATAGAATGGGCTTCTCCCTTCGTCCCTTTTCCCCTTCCCTTCCCCCC